GGTTTGAACCCGTCAACTTGGGCATAACAATCCGATACTGCTAGCCGTTGCACCACCTCCGCGCGCAAACACTTAATGTCACTGCCGTGACCCTGTCCGTGCGGTCCTACGGTTTGAGCCCCGACGCTGGAGTTTCGACACTAGATACATAGATAGGTCGAATTCAGCAATAGAGTGAAGAAGGATTCTATGGGTCGGCTGCCCAGATCGGTAGTATTCCGGGGATTCTCCGATAAACACCCTGCGAATGCTGGAGCAGTACCCTTACAAACGGGCCATGTAATGTCTGTAATTTTTTCTTCCTCTCCCTTGTTCTAATCTCGCTCCTTACTTACACGCCGCACTTTCACTTAGATTCACTACAGTATCACAGATGCCGGGAACCAGACAGTAAATTGATGTTTTGATCTGGGCTGTCCGGATGACGCCGCGTCGAAGGCTGAGGTGCCGACGTCTCGACCGACATATCGCGGTCCTGTGCAGGCCAGCCCAGATCATGACTGGCCGCGGAAGCCTACGATATTAAATTGAAGTTTATCCCTGCGATGCCCCGCTGGTAGGCGATATCAGGTTGGGGGAAACCCACAAGCTGACGGAGGTCAACGCCGGACCTCATCATCCAACGGGGAAGATCACCGCCACCTCCAGCTATAAATACAAGCGCTACACTTACGGGACTAATGGCCTTAGACATTGGCGCGCACGGAATCATTAATGAATCAGTGTATGAGTCGTGGAGCGCACTCGCCAGACTGCTATTTGGGAGGATCGTGGCATCACTACAGTTCTCAATATCTTTTCTACAAGGAATATCGCACATATTAAAAGAATAACATCTGATGCAAAAGTCACTCCTAGAGGGACGCTCAGAAGAATCCATGTGTATGGTATACTTGAAAAAAAGAGGCCTAGATTTTAAAATATGGGTGCTGATTAACGCAAAACTATCATCTCACCGCTAAAATCCAGAACGCGAAAAAAGAAAAGCTATAATTGGGAAATCTTTAGCCATATTTACATTCATGGAGGAAAATGAAATACTGTGCATGAGATTTGGATTTAAGAGATAACGAGTAGCTATTTGTTTTCCACATTCCACAAAGTTGTAATTGAAACTCTTTATTAGAATTTATAAAAGTACACAGCTATATTTAAATAAATTTATTAAATGAAGTATATTTTCTTCTTTATTCTATTTTTAAGAACTGATCTGCGACCAAGCGTATTCTATTTAGTACTGTGTGTCGCATGTTAAAGGTTGTACTTATATTTCATCAGATATGATCTTCTCTTCAATCAATATTCGTCATTTATTCATCACTGTTTCACTAAAGTCAGATGCTAGATATCGCAGAAAATAAGTTTCAGGTTTACGCAACATGAATTTCAAGCTGATAGCATACTTCTCAACGTATAAATCAATAAAATGGAACACTAGGTACTGAGAATGACACTTGACAGTTGGGTGCTAAACGAATGGAGAACTCACGAGAGCTGAAAGGCCACGTTACAACTTGACAATGTTCCTCATGGTTATTGTCCGACCATTTGTTGGGGAGTGCAACAAGCAGTGATGTTGGAATGTCACCCAATCAAATTCCCGAATATAATAAAGACCGTTTTGTTAACAGGACTCCTTCCAAACGGAAAGAATAATTAAAATATAATATGCCTGGCCCTTTAATGAAGTAAATCTTACTTTGTGCAGCCATCAAATTACAAAATACGCAATAGATTATTTTTTATTGTCTTAAAAATATCATCTTCACGTACGCTAATAATGTTCGCTGGTCACGAGCCATCTATTTAGTGTCAATATTTCACTTTAATTTAGCGTTTTTCCTCGTTTGTCATGATCGAATAAAAAATTAATATTCTATAGACCGATTATTACGAATTGTGTCGCTTATACTCTGTAAACTGCATCTACATCGCATTATAAACTGTTGTCGCGTCAAAATATCTTTCACCGAGACCTTGTTACCAGCAGAACGAACTAGCAGCGGCGAACTCAAACACAATTGTAAAGAGGGTGTGTCAATAAATGGATGAATGCGGATCTGATCTTGACAGATGACAACATGTTATTCACATGGAGTTCAACATGAGAAAACTTGTGAGCGGTGCGAGATTTGAATACGCAGGTCAAGTGCTCTGACATATTATTTCTGCAGTATCCCTGATCAGATCCACACGAAGGCCAGAAAAGCCCCCTGAGCCAAAAGCCACGGACCAAACGCGATCTTTCCATCCCATCCATCTTCTATCTTGACAGGAGCGCCGTGTGTGTATTTCTTAGTGAAAGTGTATGAACACATTGTGTGTGATTAAATGCGAAAGTGGGTCTGAATGTGAATGAGAATGTGAGTGTGTCTGAATGTGAATATGAGTGTGTCTGAATGTGAGTGTGTGTCTGAATGTGAATGTGTCTGAATTAGAGTGTGAGTGTGTCTCAATGTGAGTGTGAGTATGTCTGAATGTGAGTGTATGTCTGAATGTGTGTGTCTGAATCTGAACAACCGACTTACCGGCAGGAAAGATGTCAACATTCCATAGAGAACTGAATATCGCTCATAATAATACCAGTGAGTCCCAATGGCATTTCACATCCCCCAACCGATCCAACAAAAAAACTTGGATAAAGTTGGTTTGCGGAGATTGGCAACGCCACGCAGTTCAGTTAGAGTTTGTGAGTCGCTCAAGTTGGCAGTCCCAATGGAATCCTCGCCACGCACGACGAGGTTCTTGGTTTATAGATCCCTTCTTTTATATCGGTTGTATTTTTTAATGCGACTGCGGAAGGCGACCCGCATGCCGCCTAGCGGAGAAAAGAGAAGACGGGAAAAACAAGAGACGCTCGACCTCCTGGGAATCCCCCAGCGAAGCACGCGATGGCCGTCTTCTTGTCCCCCGGTGCAGTTTCTTCGATGCAGCTTCTTGTCCGTCGACGGCTGTTCTGATCAATACTGGCCTTATTTCTCTTCATGACGTATGAAGAGTAATAGACCAAATCCACAACAAAATATGTTCTTAGGAGGACATGTCAAAAGAGATGCCATTTTATAAAATAATAATTATAAATTATCAGTTATTTAAATGAACTCAAAATGAACTTTTTAGTTGATGAATATTTGGAATACGTTCAGAAAGTTTTAAGGGCTGCAGTTTATTATCCTTCGTCACTAATTTTGATCGATACTTTGCTTCACTGCGTAGTGCATGAGAAGAAAGAGATCAGAAGGTTAACTCAACGACAAAATTGAATGCGTTTTGAAGACAATTGATTTAGAGGTGTTTGAAGATGATTATCACAGACAGACATTTTCTGATGTAATATTTCTATTTCCTCCATTATTTAAACGATTTGGATTTTTTCATTTAATAAACCTTCGGCGTACGTTTAAAAAAATTCAGAATATTATTACATCGCTCATAAGCACGTTGGAGTAAAATTAGAATAAATTCATTTCGACCTGCTTTTCCATTTATTACGTCTGTAATATTCTGCAAGTCTTGATGTATTGGATTTAAAAAGCAGTACAAGTTTTCGAATATTTCATAACTTTTCACTAATGTCTTAACCTGCTTCTAAACCGTTGGGTTTTGCGAGAAGTACTGCGAGAATTCTGTAAACTTTTCAAAGTTTGGTGTAACAAAATCACAATATTTTTGCTTTTAACGTCTGCGTGTATTTTAAGCTCAAAGAAACTTGGACTACCCTTGAAATGTGTCTCCAAAAACAACTAAAGACAAATATTGTAAGTAATTGTATTGTATTCACTTGTGGAAGTGAATTAATCGAGGGTGTAAAGGGAAGATGAAAAGGTGATAACCAAATTCGTGACTCTCAGAACCGGGAATCATATCTGAATATCCACGTACAATTCGCTCAATATGTGCATGTTTCAAGTAGCGTGAACTAATTACTACCTGGCTTCTCTTATACGTTAATAATTTACTATAAAATGAGTGTCATTTAACAACCGTTTCTGAAACAAACATTGTCTACAGTAGACAACGTTATTTCCAACTATTCGACAAGCTTTAAAGGTTATGTAAAAACTGTAATATACAATTATAGAATATTTTCTTCAATTCCAGTAACATCTTACAGACGAATTGCCCGACTCTTGTAGCAAGCAAGAATAAAATAAATTTAATGCGAGAAACTTGAAATAGAATGCATTTCAATGGGCATGTTTACTTTAAAAAACCTAGTTTAATCAATCGATTCCTAAGTTTTAACTACGCGTGGTTTCCTCCAAGTTCTACTCATCATAATGTGAAACATATGATCTTCGCTTGTTTCACATTCGCTTGTCAGGCAACCGGAGATTGTCGCAAATTACGCCTAAATCCCGGAGGCTGTGACAGGCGTGCCAACCGTCGCTGCGTTACGTTTGCCGCTGGTCATTTGTCGCTCGCGGTGCTCACGTCCGAGTTAATGCCTTCATTATCGATGGCTGAACGAGGACAAGCTGGCAGGTCGCGCGTTGCCATATTGTTTGGTGCTGACGACTGGTTTGGCGATTCAACTCATTTACGCGTGTTTTAACGTTATTATATTTATTTCGTTTTGTATCACAGTGAACAAAAATTAACTTATAAATACACATTTTACCAAGAGAGGTGCAAAAGTAAAATTAAATAAATTAATTAAAAAAGCATACATCCAAAAAGCAATAGATTGCAGTTAACAGACAGATTTTGTGACAACAAGGAACCATTCAATGTGAGCAATTCATTAAAAAAAAAAGAATAAAGTCTAAAGAATAAAAATAAAGAAAAAGTCTAAAGAATTGTAAACACGGAATTTTAATACTGACTAACAACGCCTGAATTTCTCATCGGATAGTGCTGAAACGTTACCAACTCTCAAAGAATATTCTCCAACATAAGAGAAGATGAGTTAGTTATAATCACAAACGTTCAAAATTAAATCGAATTTTTCAATTAAATCTTGTGATTCTATAAGGCAATATAAAAAAGTGTTTACTTACATTTGAAAAATCTTGAATGAGGTGATGGTAAGATATCTCGAATATAGTTCAGGATTCATGTGATGAAAACACCATGATTAAATATTTCTACTGCTTTCATGGACCAGGCAGATTCTGAAAAAAATGACAAAAACCGTTTAAAAGTGAAAATAACTGAGATAGATAACCTATTATAAATGCAATAATAAATTATTAAAGTTATTAACAAAATATTCTAAACTCCTGTTACATTCACGGATTGTTCCACATGTGTCTTTGATTTCTCTTTGTCTCTAGGTCAATCGCCAGCTTCTAGATCATTTCCGTTTTGAACTTTTCTTCCTACACGCTTACCTTAACTTTCATATCTATATTCCACTATTTTTTAATTCATCCTGTACGACATTATCAATTCATTTTGTAATAAATTTCTTATTATCGATTTATTCATACATGCGTGTGTACATTTATCCTGCTCTGTGGGGATATATTTATTCGTTCATACATCTATTCATACATGCATACGTTTATACATTAATTCACTGGGTTTCGTCTCAATTGAAGCAATTCAGCTTTCTGTAGAGGAGATACGCATGGCAAAATATTGTGAGGCTAAGATATCTTACGGAATAATAATAATAATATAAAAATTTATATAATAAATTATTATATTAATAATTATTCATAATAATTATAAAGCGAGTATATAGTAACATTTAATGAAATAATATTCGAATGGTACTTATGTCGTTGATGAGACTCAGACATGATCTTGCAAAAATGAACACTGTCGGAAGATGAAAAAAACGCTGTTATAAACTAAACAATAAAATAAGGGACATCATAATAACGGAAAGGGACATGACAAAGACGCGTGAAAACCCAAGTATATTAGAATGAAAGTGAACAGGTCCCATAATATTAACTAGCAACAGATGGATTTACCATATCACAGCATGGGAATAAAGATGTGATATTAGGAATCCAGAAGACCCTTTAGTCAAATAATTTCAAGAAAACAATTTGGAAAGCTATGAGAGAAAGAACATATCGAAACAGATGAATAAAAGAGTGTAACCTAGTGGCAAATGAAAGTTTTTAGTGGGTTTGCAACCGGAAGCGCATGAACTGTAAGGGAATTCTAGATGTGTTTAGAGAGCTGTCAATCTAATATATTTATACTTTTAGAGATTAAATAACAATAAATACAATTCTCTATTTTTTTAAAAGTACTTAAGCAAAATGTAGATTTTTGCAACTCTTCAACAAACCGATATTGTGATAATTATTTTCTTAAATTAATCACAAATGTCAATTCTAGTAAATGGATAAGAAAGGCAAAGGCACTTTGAAAGCTAAAGAGAGAGGATTTTAATGTTTTAGAAATAAAATATTTATAAATTTATTCTGGCCATTTCAGTTCAATTAACTTGTGACTGAGTTACTCTTTTCGTGACACATTAACAATTCTAATAAATTCCCTTGAACAAACCATGGATTACATGCAGCAAAAAGTAACTTTTATTAACTTTAATAGTTTATGATTTATGTTGTGTGACATGCATGAATGTGCTGAAAATTCCCAATCTGGAAAAACGCATATGCTGTTCACTCACTAACGGCTTGAGAGTTGACACTCGCTTCAAAAATAAATTATCTTCTCAAAAACTAAGAAACGAGGAAATAAATGGTTTCAATATTTTAAAAGAGAATGAAACCGAGCTTACGAGTAAGAAAATTCAAAATCATGAGATTTCACAATTTTCAATTTTGAGATAAACAGCTATCTTCAGAGATAAAAGTTTATTAAGAACCTAAAAAATTATGACATGACATTAAATATAAGACATGGATCGACCAGAATTTGAGCAACGATCCTATTGATGGAAGGTGATGAAAATTCCCAATCCGGAAAAACGCATAAGCTGTTCACTCACTAACGGCTTGAGACTTGACACTCGCTTCAAAAATAAATTATGTTCTCAAAAACTGAGAAACGAGGAAAGAAATGGTTTGAATTTTTTGAAAGGGAATGAAACCGAGCATTCGTGTAAAAAAATTGAAAACCATGAGATTTCACGATTTTTAATTTTGAGGTAAACAGCTATCTTCAGAGATGATAGTTTATTAAGAACCAAAAAAATTATGACATGACATTAAATGTAAGCCATGGATCGACCAGAATTTGAGCAACGATCCTATTGATGGAAGGTGAGTGTTTATTTTCGAAAAAAAAAACAAAAAAACAAACAGTGAAACCAGCATGTGACATATGATAGAGTTACGCTAAGCCACGTTTCGCCTACCATTTCTTCATTCGACTGCTATCTTCTCTACAAAGACTCCATTGGCACTAGAAAGGCGCGATCCAGAGCTTGAATTAAGCTACACAGGAGACACCTTTAAATATGAATGGTTTTCGCGAGCGTCGGTAGAGAATGATGGTGTCGCCAATAAAAGTTCCTTGAATTCTGGGAGTGCAACGAGGAGCTATATTTTCACCGTAGTCTTTATGAGTGAGAAAGAAGTGGAGAACAGAAAGATAAGAAGGCGAGAAGAAAGAAGAAAATAGAAAGAAATGAAGTAAAGAAGTGGGAAATGGAGTAGGAAGAAGAAAAGCAGGAGAAGGAAGAGGAAAAGGAGAAAAGGAAAGAGGAAAAGGAGAAAAAGGAAGAAGGAAAGGAGTGAAAGGAAGAAGAAAAGAAGAAGGAAGAAGAAAAGGAAGGGAATGAAGAAAAAGAGGAGGATGAAAAGGAGGAAAAGGGGGAAGAACTAGAGGAAGAGAAGGACGTCAAAGAAGAAGAGAAAATGCATAGTAGGAGGAGGAAGAAGAACAGAAGAAGACGAAGAAAGTTTATCTTTGAAGGAGACTGCGAAGAAAATTCCAATTTCTCTTCTTCTGGACTTCTAATCGCCCACACGAGCCCCAACGTCCATTTTCCTTTCCCATAGGACCCATCCCCCATGATCTGCCAAGAGTGCTGCAGTACACGAGTACCTGCACGCCGACACCCGAACGCTCGGACCAGGCAGGTGCGCGTTATCGAAAAGGAAAGTCCGATTTCGCGGACACACGCCGGACGCGAATGACTGCGAAAGCACCTGCAGCGAGACGGGCCGCACCTGCACTACACCCGGAACCGCGGGCCGTGTGCGAGCCAAGCTCCCACCGCGATGGCGGCAGGAGGCTCGGAAGGGCGGAGGGGGAACGGAAGCGCGTTAATTTAGATTGCGGGGCGAGAGGCGCCCGCGCCGGGGTGCGGAGTGGACGGGAGGGGTGAGGAGAGCGGAGAGCAAAAACCCCGTGGTGTGGAAGGGAAGGGGCGGGGGCGGGGAGGGAGAGTGGAGGAGGGGTGGGCAGTTAAATTCGCTGGCGCAGCGCGGACACAATTAATTGCGCGATTCAAACACTTTTGCGGTGGATCCGGAGGGAAGGGGGACTATGGACTATCTACTGGAAATGTTTAGTAAGGCTATGCAACAGCAAGAATAAGAGGGTTAATAATAATAATAATAATAATAATAATATATTATTATAATAATAATAATAATAACGTATTAATAATTGTTAGGTGTATAAAATTAATAATAATAATATTTAATAACTAAATTAAAATTAAATAGAAAAACTAAGAGCAGTGGGTTTAAATTAATCCCAGAAGACTTAAATAAATGAAAAAATACTTATAAATTAAGTGAAAATAAAGAACAATTCAGAAAAAAAATACTGAAGATATTGAGCTCAGATTCCCAGAAAAAAAACTAAATCCAAAAGAGGAGCAAATGTGTCAGAAGAGACAAAAAGGCAACGTCTGAAAGAATGGAGGAATACTTGAAGAAACGTAAAGAAAGAAAAAACCCATAAGAAGTAATTGATCTAACGAACTTCAAAGTAGCTGATTCGAAAGAAGAAGAGTATTAATAATAACATTAATAATAATAATGAAATAATTAAAAAATAAAATATAAAATATTAATATAATAGGTTACCACATAATAATAATCATAGACTTTTTCGTGCTAATTGTGACTGTTAAGTAAACCAGGATTGCAATATGGTGCTTCTAAAGAAACTCCACAGATACATAATCAACAGAAGAACATAGGAAAAAGCAAAATGAATTTATGGAGACATTGTCGGAGAAAAACCCTAAAGCTACTAACGAACTAGTTTGAATGCAACCTTGAAGTGAACAAATCAAAGAAGAAAAGAAAGATATAAATAAAGAAAAAGAAATAAGTAAATGAATAATAGCAATAATATTAATAGCAACAATTTCAACTTGAATCTAGCTTAAATAATAAGTAGAAATAAATTTACTATGCACAGATTTTATTAACGACAATTTAAAGTATTGACAATTTTCTTCGTCGGATGTTATATTAAGACAATATTTTTTAAATTATAAAAACGAGAAATTTTATTTATTTTCGATGGTTTATTCATACATTCATTTTCTCGACATTTGAAGACCTAATTTTCATGAACTGTAATTATATAATGAAAAATTGCCTTAGTGGGTGGTTTCGATATTTTTGATTTGCAGCGTTTAGATATTGCTGATTACAAAATTCACATAGGGTTATATTTTTTAAATTTATAAATGATATGGCTTGAGATCAAAAATTATTATTAATCAAGAGTCTGAATGGAAATAAATATATGAATAGAATATTGTCCTACTTGCAAGAAAACTTACCATAAAAATGTTGTGAATAACTAAAATGTATCTACATTTTGCACTAGCTAAATGTAGCATGAACATCCAACAAAGGATAGTCTGCCTCGCTGAAGCAGGGATTGACAGCATCATCCAAGGGTGCGGACCCACATATTCCAAGTTCGAGTTCCTTCAAAGACCCGTAGACACGAATGTTTTTACATGATTTGATTGGGCCTTGAATGGATTCGCGAGCTAGAGCGTGTGCTATTATTTTGTGAAGCATCATTCGATTCATATAACACATGCGACGTCAAATCGCCCTTGTGTATTCCAACAATGGAATCAACTGACGTGCGATTTGGAGTATTTTATCTTCCAAGGGACCGCCATACTTAATATGAAAGTCATTACATGACACTAACGTACCCGTATGAGAAATCTCGCATATTTAAGCCCACACTAATTTTTACTAAGGACATCGAGAAACTGAAACGGGAATATGTCCGTTTTCATCGCAGTTCCCTCCACAATTAGGTACACAGGACTTGTAGACCACGACAAAACGTTGAATGAATGGTTGCACTACACACATAAGTAACAACCTTCATCGGCATCAAGCAACTATTAATAGTACTTCTAGTTGTTGCTGCGAGAGCGAATCTTGAATTAACAATTATGCAAATTAAACTGGTCAGTCTGCGCAAACCACGGTGTATACAGAAAGCGTAAACAGTATGAGATAAAGCAATCTAAGCTTACTACGCGTGACGTCACAAAGATTACCACCGGCATCAACGGCTAAAATAAAGGTCATGGAGGAATTCTCGTATATTCTGTATTCCTCCATATACGAGGTATATTCGTTTAGGTTGCATTGATAGTATCAAATAAGCACTGAACCGGCAAAAATTTAGTACAATGTTCATCCTATAGATTACGGTGTAAGAAACGTTTCTTTGAGGTCTTTGGCTTTAAAACTTTAGTTTTTAAGGTTTTCAAACGCTTTTTTAGGAGTTATTTAACGATATAGGGGGCCAAGTTTTGCGAGTTGCATTTGACATTAATATTTAGAAGCGCCTTTTAAAGAAATCCTTCATATTTTTAAGGTGCAATGCATCACATATCCGAATTTTCTTACTTTAGAGATCTCATTTATAAAGGTCGGTTGCGTGTGAGAGTCGCAAAACATATGTATACTACGCAAATAATATAGGAAATGATGCCTTACGTAGTAATCATGTTGAGAATAGTTTATTTTGTCTCCAATTATTATTCTCTGTTCATTACGTTAAAAACTATTAGCAAACATACTAGCAAATTTTATCGAGTAAAACACAATACACCACAATTCCTTTACACACAGCGGAAAAGTGAATTGAATTTGATCACAAAATGTTTTTATTATTAGAGGATTGGCGATTCGGATGTTAAATGAACTGAGAGTCTGCACCTGTAATGATGTGGGCCACCAATTCCCAACCACTGCCGTTGGGGTTTAGTTTGTGGGGAAGGGGAGGAGAGGGGCGACCGCCATACGGAAATTAGCTCGCAGCGGATCTCTCTTCCTCCACGCATCCCCACCTGACCCTTACGACGTCCGAGTGATACATTTCATGTTCCCGATGTTGATAGCGAGTCCTTCTGGGCTTTGGATTCTAATGCTAAATGCTCGTGGTCGTGTTTTGAGCATTTAGTTTTCTTTCTTTGTTTCTATGTTTTTTTTTCATTTCATTGTTTCTTTCTTTCTTTCTTTCTTTCTTTGATTGTTTCTCTCTCTTTCTTTCTTCTCTATTTCTTCTTTCTTTCTTCGTTTCTTTCTTCCTTTCTTCCTTTCTTTATTTTTTATTTATCTCTCTGTTTATTTATATCTTGATTCCCAAACTCAATTCAAAAGTGTGTGACGTTCTAAGAGAAGTGTATTCCGTGCATGTTTTCTAAAATTCCGCGATCCCTACCCTAATCCGAATTCAGGTTGAGTGCTTATTACCGATAGAAATTATAAAATATTCGCTTCCGTGTAATACAAAACTTTCTGCAAAAGCAAATCAGATACAGATTTTTGCGGTTATCTCACATACTAACCTTCGACAAACAATCAACTCACTACTGCGAGTGCATTTATTAATTCTGACTCTAAATCCAACAAAAATATGAAGAGACACAAGTACACGAGATTGTTTCCGCGATAACAGTTTGGCTAGTAAAAATAATTTGTTGACCTACTAAAAATAATGCTGTTCTTGTGCTGCAATACCTGTCAGAGGAGTAATAATAATAATAATAATAATAATAATAATAATAATAATAATAATAATAATAATAATGTACGGAATAGAATTCTAGTCAAACAATAACACCAGCTTTTAATGAGAGTACTTCAGTCTAAAAATTCCGAAATGCAGAAAATTAGCATTGGATGCTTTCACACAATGGAATTCCCATTGGTAAATTGCGCTGGTAACTTTCGACGTCCATTCAAATTTATTTCATAACGAAAATGCTACAGAAATTATACGAAATAAAAAGCATTATAATAATCGTAATTTTTTTATAAATATGTAGTGAACATATCATTCGATATTAATATTTTTACATCAAGGGGATAGAACGTTAAACAAAATTTCACCTTTTAAAAAGAGTTAAGATTCAAATACTTTAAGTGATACTTGTTTTCTGTAGATGTAATATATGGTTTACATTAAATAAATATACTTGTAATTAAATTATTCAGTTTTACATGACGTACAATTATTGATCGAACATAACACTTAAATAATTGATCTGGCTTTGTGCTGATCTTCATCCAATGACATTAAAAATTCGCTGATATTTTGCCACATCCTTAAAATTTTTCCCCTGTACTAAGTAATAACTAGAAAGTTCAAAATATTACAAATATAACGGTAATAAGTCAACTTTAAGTAATAGATAAAACTTAAAATGAAATGAAAGAAATGTACGTGATTAACACAACCATTATTCCCGAAACTGCAAGAAAATACGATCCTGGCATACGTCTTAAGAGATTGAGTCAACGTAGCTGAACCCCAAACAGGACGACCGGGAGGGTTTGCTCAGGGCATCAACTGGTGTCACTGCAGTACCGCTGACTGGGAGGTTCTAGGTTCGAGTTCCGACGGTGGTAGGATTTTCGACACTAAAGAGCTTGATCAAATGCAGACCCTGTATTGACGAGAATACCAGGTGAATGGCGTAGCAGTATCCTACCATGGACCGCGCGCGATCTTTCCTTCCCCTTTCCTCACCTCACCCCTTACTTACACTCACACCAACATGCCATACACTACTACACACGCTGGGAGACCGGTCGAGAGTCTGGAGCTCGCCCGGGCTGGATCGGTTCTCCGCTGCAGAGGAGAGATCTGGTAGGAGAAAACCCCGCAAGCCGAAGTGTATTCCGTGTACGTCTACCAAGTAGGTCGGCGTTAAGGAAAGAAATCACTACATGCGTGCCTAAAGAACTTAGCAGTTGACGCGTCCGGAATCACTGATCAATAAATCAATCGCAAACAGGATGGATGCTTTAATCGAAATCCAACAATTTAAAAAATATTTTATTTAAATCAATGGTTTATTCACATTTTGTTCTTTACATTATCATTTGGTGAACGATTTAGAAGTAAAATCAGCATTAGTGAAGAGTTGTCCTGTGACTACTTCTCAGTTAAAATTGTATGTTTTTTTAGATTTACGTAGTTATTACAAATTTGTAATGATTGATGCAAAAACTACAGTCTGTCATCTTTGTTTCAAATTATAGTACATCAGACATAGAATATTAAACATCAGTTCTCAACCGAGCAACGGATTCTCTTACATTTCCGTGTCACATACGACCCAAAAGAACGTGCCACATGTTTCGGCATGAAAATTCACCGCGTCTTCCGCCTTTCAGCAATCCCATTTCCATGACACGATTCGCCGTGACACC